TGGGGAGTTGTAGTTATTGTGTACCTAAATGCACCAGCCTGAAGAAGGCTGCATATCTAAAATAGATAGGGTCGGAGGCTGGCTTTCTCCCGAGAAAGGGGACTGGAACTTTGTCACTGGAGTGAGGATTATTTACAAGTCCTTCACAAAACCATGTTCCCAGGACATATCCCAGTATTTCTCTGTTAGAACTGAGGATCTATGATACTTTCTTGAACTCTATAGGAACAAAAGGATTAAGATTCCCTTGGGTTAGTCTTAACATGGGTTCCCATATAAACTCAACTCCAACTGACCTCAGGAACACATCAATGTAGCTTTCTTTGTAACCGGATGGAAATGGACCACCATTGTCTTCTTCTATTCATCTTTCTCATCCATCCTTCAACCATGGAATCTTTCTGGTGGTTTCTCATCTGAGTACTAACCAAGTCTCGCCCTGGTTGGCTTTCAGAAATTAACCATGGCCTCTCAAATAGGTTGCATCCAGACAGTATTGATTATGTGGTTGAATGTTCAGACTTCTCAGAAATCTTTGCCAAACTTTAGAAGAAGTTCAAAATTTAGCAGTCATTTTGGTATTGAAAGATGATACTGGATCATATATTATTTACACACCAGTACATTTGTATTTGTTTTTTTGCTTGATCGTTTATGAATGCATTCCAGCTAACTTCTCATTTGACTTTATTGCATACCAACTTGTTTGAGGTGGGTGGCCATATGAATTTGATAACTAAATAAATCAAGTTCTCTGGGTAGCTTACAATCACAATATCTTGTCTGAATATTGAGAAGCCCCATGAACCAAAAACTGTGATGTAGCATATGTCAGTTATAAAGATCCTTAAGAGAACAAAAATAAGAATCTAAAAACTCAGGGAACATTATCTCTCTCTGATAAAAGAGGACTGTATTGTGGTCACAGCCCAACCTTCTGAGAATGAAGTGAGAGCTCCTGTAAGCTCTGTTGAGTTCTTGGAGGAAAGACAAGCTGTAAAGCTTTGTTTCCCATCACATCTGAACAATCTTGAAAGTGTTCCGTGAGTTGATTGTGAAAGTCAAGTGTTGGTTATTATGGGAACTTTACCCCCTCAGTTCCATTAGGGAAATAAATCCCCTACTGCAATTTCATCACAACTTCCAGGAGATCAAATTTTATTGTCCAGTCCCTGCAGAAAACAAGCATAAGTTGAATGATCGCTGCACTCTTTCTTGATGAATCTTAGATAGAGGGCTTTTCTATGATTCTACATTTTTTCTACCTTTCAATTTTTGGGGAGTTCTCCTACGCAATCCAGATTTGGTGTGTTCTCTATTTCTGCCTGTTAGGTCTCTCTCCTTTTCATTCCTTCTTTAGAGTTTTTGAAAGATTTTCCATTTTTTAAAAAAGCTTCCTTTCAAATCTGTTGGTCTGGATTCACAGGACTCTTTCATGAGACACTCAGAAGAGATTTCTGAATGAAGTGATTTGGGTGGATTGATTAGATTCAAACAAATAGATTTAAGTCAACCAAGTTCAGCCGAGTTGCCTTGCATGTGGCTGAGAGACTCGTAGGATTTTTGAGGCCGTCAACCCCAAAGAGTCCCAAAGTTTCCCCCCGAGCCAGATGTGGCGTTTTGGATCAGGATTGGCATTGAGGTATCTTCCACCTGTCAAGCACTTTCAAGAAATGTCTGTCTAGGGAAGGAAGCTTATCAATTATTAAACACCTCTTTTTTTCCAAACAAAAATTTATGCTGAGATAGATTCTTAGCAAAAATGTTATCTGATCTCAGGAGCAGAAAGAAAAGCCAAACTGCAGTGTTATTCAGAAGGGGGAAAAAATGCTTTTCCTCAATGTAGTTTTACACTAATTGAAAATCTCTCTCATTTCCTATGCTTGAAGAGAAAGAGAGAGAGAGAGGATCGACAGATAGAGGATAGAAGTGTTTTTTCCCTATGGCAAACTGTTGCATTTGTTCCACATGTTTTTGGTGGTGGCTTTTACATGAAAAACATTCTTTCAGAAAGGACAGAGAACATGTGAAGATTGGAGCTACCTTCTCAGGTCCCAAACAGAGATTTCCCTAAATTAGTTCCTCCTGTTTGTTTTAGGATTACCAATAATAAAATCCCCACCCAGGCTGAAGGGAATGCGGAGGGTCATAGTAAACTGGGGAAACCTGATGAAACTGTTGTGTATAATATAAGTAGCCAATCTAGTTTGGAGGCTGATATCCAATGTTCTTGGAACAGCCCCGGCTGGATAATTATGGTCGACGCTTCAGCGGTTCGAGTCCAGCCTTCGCGTTAAACAGGGTGAGCTCCTGTTTCCTCCCCAGTTCCTGTCAACACAACAGGTCGAAAACTCACGTGAGTAGACAAAT